CTCGTCCAGCTCTCCCTTGATGTAAGTTATCGTGTTCTCGAGCCTCGGTTTGACCACGTTCTCAAGAGCGTTGACCCTCCGGTTCGTGGTCTTGATGGCCTCGTCGAGCGTCAGGAAAGACGTTTGGAGAGTCGCCAGCTCAACAAGAAGCTCGATCGACTTCACATAAGCTGCCCGGCAGGCCTGCACTTGCTGCCCGCCTCGGGCAAGCCCGGTTAGGTCATTCTTGGTCTCGCCACCTTCTATGAAGTACTCGAATTTGGGGAGCTTTACACCTGCAATATTCTCCTGGTACGAACGGACCTTGAGGGCTGCTGACTGGACGTTTTCGCGCACGACGTGTTTGATGTTCTCGCCAGCCACGTACTTGGCCTCCGTAAGGGCGAAACTGGAATTTCGCATCACGTCGCCCATGGATTCTTTTGTCGAGACGATGTTCTTGAGGATCTGGCGGAACTGAACAGTGAGTGCATCACTTTTTTTCTTGAGGAGGGCATGGCCACGGGTGGCTCCCACGAGCCGGGCCTTCATGACACCAAGCATGGTCACGGTGGGGACCACGTTCAGGCGCTGGGTTTGTCCGGACATCTTTCTTGGGATTTTTTTTATTCTTGATCTTTTTCCTGGGTTAGATAGAAAATGTAACAGATAACTACGTGAAGAGTTCAATACATTAAAAAAAAAAAGAAATTTGCGACAATCAATGGCAGGAATAAATTTCTAAATCTATCCTTTTTATTGATCAATGCATCTTTGCTGAGTTATTTTTATCGTTGAGAGGGAAAATATCATAGATGTAACTACAGAAAGACAATGTGGGAACTGAATAAATAGTTCACGAAAAATGGATCTTTTAAGATACTTCAAATCCCCTGTCGTCTTACTATTTACGAGTCATTCCTATAAAACCCGATACAAAACCTGATACAGCAAAACATTTAGCATGATGAACGTTACCGCTAATGGCACGCCTACCTATTGTCATTAGCCTCATTAACAAATTAGATGAACCAACTCCTAGAAGTAAAGATCGCAAAAGTAACAGACAAAAACAAAAGAAAATTCAGAAAATTGACTAAATTCCCAATTCAATCTTCTTTAGCCCAGTTGAAATAAGAAATATTTTCAATCCAGCAAAACTGTCCCCAATCAGAAATTGAATCTGAAGATTGGGGGGCGGCCATTTCTCTCCTTAGCGATCTTCCTCTAAAACTAATGATGTAACAACAGCAAGCGGGTTGTTTTCGAATGATTATTACACAGATTATCATTAGATCCAAAGTCGATGAATCAATCAATAAAAAAGTGATCTTCATATATTTAAGACAAATTCAACATCGACCCAATGTCAATCGAGCTGAAACGAAATGCAGGAGGCAGAGAAAAATAACTCTT